TGTCTGTGTGTCCATCAGCTGGAAGACTGCACCCTCCAGCTGTCTCCCAGTGGAAACTATCTGGACCTGGACTCTTCTCTGGCTGAGCAGCGAGACGAGCTGGAGAGCTTCTATGAAGATGTGGCGTAAGAAAAGCTTTAGTGTGTGTGTGTGTGTGTGTGTGTGCGTGTGTGTGTGTGATTGTCTATTTTTAACATGTGTTTCTATTGGGAACATGACTCATTAATGCTGCAGCCAAACACGTCATGCAGAGACATGCCGTCCTTGTAACCCCACAAACAGAAAAAAGAAGCACTGGACCCACACATACGCCCCCCCACCCCACCCCCTTCACCCACCTGCATCCCCACCCGCACCAAAACAAACGCTGTCAACAACGTACTCAAATATTAAAATAGAATAAAAAATAATACGGGGAAAAATAGCCAAGTTAAAATAAAGACAGCACATTTTTATCCTCTTTATAAAACAATAGTAGTTCACGATTACTCATTATAATACACTTTATGTAATTTAAAGTACTATTGTTATTATTCATTTTAATTATGTTCATATAGTACATGTGTAACATTCATTGTTTAGTAAAAGTTGTTTACACGTTTAGTGATAAATAAGTGAAAAAAGTTTTTGTCGTCGGGCGCTTTAGACGCTTTGCTCGCTGCAGGCGGCAGCTTCAAACTGACCGGCTGCCCGAGAACATACGTGCCTCAGAGGATAACGATGATGCCCAATTGTGACATCAGCTAAGATGCACAGGAATAATTTGATCTTATTCTGTATATATTCTTGCCAACACTTTCTTTAAAGGTGTAAAACATTCTGGGGTCAATTTTTTTTTTAAAAAGGCAGGTGTGAAAGTGAGATTACAGGAAGTACCATTTTAAATGTAATTATTAAAGATGATTGCTATTTTATTTTAAATAAAAATATATAATAATTTTAAAATATACATCTGAAGCTCAGAGGCCCAGAGTGATATTTAGAATCCCTGTGCACGTAAACATTGTCAGAAACATGGGTTTAAATCACTCTGTATGGCATCATCGCTTTGACCTTCGGATCCGTCTGTTGACCTTGAAGGTGATATTAATTTTTTACTTTTCACATGTTGCCAACAGACGGCACGCTTGTAAGTTGTCGTCAATTTTCAGCCAATAAATCATGACGTTAACCACAAAGACCTCGGGGGATGGAGGCCATTTTTTTTAATCAATTGTTAACATGACCCCGCTCGTCACCGATCAAAACTTTTCCAGGTATCGTGTCTACAGACAGGAGCACCAAAAACACAACTTCCTTGGTAGAGGTAATAAAAATATGAATAATCAAAATGATGGATAAAAGGAGTAAAAGAAGTATTAGTGGGATAAGTTTTCTTCCACTTATCCCATTCAGGGTTAGGAGCAGGTTGAGCCTATCATAGCTGTCACAGGGCAGGAGGCCCGGGACACCCTGGACAGGTCAGTCTGTCACAGGACTAAAGTGCACAGATAGATAACCCTGCACACTAGGGCTGCCACGATTAGTCGACTAGTCACGATTATGTCGACTATCAGAATCGTCGACGACTGATTTAATAGT